CAGGGCGTAGCGTGTCAGCAGCACCTCCTTCATGGCTGTCCGTACTTCCGAGTTGAACACTGTGGGGTCTTGGGCCTGGGGAGAGTCCAGAAAATTAGTCACTAGGCAGGACAAGCAATGTCCTGTCTTGGAGGCCTTCAGAGAAGGGAGTGCCTCTCAATACCTCCATCATAATCCTCCCAGCACTGAAGTGTCCCCCACAGCCCTGTGCCCATCCCAGAACGGGAGCATCAGCTCTGGAGACCCCCGGGGAAGGCATATCCCCTTGTCCCCCTCTTACCTTCTCATTCTGGGTGTTGTGGTTTCGGGCAAAGGGGTAGAAGGCGCCGAGCTGCATCCAGCGAGCGCAGAGCTCCTCTGAGGTGGTGCCTGAGAAGCCACAGATGTCTGCCCCGACCAGCGGGATCCCAAAAAGGCTGAAGCTCAGCAGGCCTGGGAACAGACAGAAACTGAGCACGGCAGGCTGCTGGGGGCTGCCTGGAAGGGAAAGTCTCCCTGTCTTGGATCAAGGCCCCTGCCCCTTCCCTGGCACAGACCACAAAACCAACATGGTGCAGAACATGCTTGGCCAGCTACATTCACCCACAAGACCAAAGACCCACTACAATGCTTGTGAGCTGGCATCTGGCTTCCCCCACAGCACAGGCCTGGACTGGAAACAACAGGGAGAGGGCTCCTGTTAGGCACTGCCCAGAGGGGGACAGGAAAACTGCTATACAGTGAAGAGACATGTGTTTTGGAGGTGTCTAGTAGGGGCTGTTGTGCAGCAGATGAGACCAGAGGAGATGCAGGTGAGTGTCTGAGGGTGTCTCTATCTGCACCAGGTGTAAGAGGATACTTATGAGGTCCCCAGAGGCACCCACCTGGGATTGACCACGACATGTCCTTCCACTCGCTCCTGTTGTCACCGAGCCAGTGCCCTGAGTACCTGCCCTGACTGGGGAAGGTGGAGCGGGAGATCACGAAAGGGCGTTTCCCTCGGATTTGGATCAAGGCACTGAAAGACAAGAAGGAGAGTGGCACACTTGGCATGGCAGGCAGCGACTCAGAACCAAGACCCTTGCCCTGAGCGCACCAGAACCAGAGCCTGAGGCAGCGCCGTGACTGAGAACAACCCAGGCCGGGCCCCTGGCAGCACAGCTCAGAGACATGACCCTGCAGCCCTGCCTGTTGATGGCATCAACTCAAGGGAAGGCTTGACATAGCCTGACTGATGGAGGAGGACCCCGACATGAGACCGCACCCATATTCCACATGCCTGGCTCCATCAGCCACTAACTCCCTCACCCTCCTCTTTACCAGGCCCTTGTGCATTGGTGACTCAAACCAACTCCACCCTCAGGGCTGTGAGTGCAAAGTGGGCTCTTGCCAAGGGCAGCTGGAACATGTCCCTCTAAGCCAGGCACTCACGCCTCAGCCATTTTCCAGCCCCAACTTGATATCACCTCCCTGCATGCAAGCCTCCACGCCCAGATCTCAGCCTGACATGGCTGTGATGAGAGGGGTAAGTCTTGGCCCTTACCTGGCTGTGGCTTTGGCTTCCATCAGCCCGTAGAGGTTGTGGAGGTTGTAGTGCACAGAAGCGTTCTGCTTTGCTGAAGCACAGAGAGTCTTTGCAGAGAGGGACCCTCCTAGCACAGCTGAAGGGAGAAAGATTGTAAAGAAAATAGCTACACAGCACAGAAGAGATGAGCAAACACCTGCTCTCAGATGCCCGCCTAACAGCCTCTGGGCTTGGTCTCCAGTCTCCTCATATGGCCCAGAAAGACAGGATTTCAGT